AATATCTTGGAGAGATAGCAGTGAGGTTTTTGACTCAAATATCCAATGGCATATTTAAGGGTGAGAAAGTACCTGAGGAATGGACAAAAAAATGCAACGAGAGAAATGTTGGAAAAGTTGGAAGTGCTGATGCCCATTTTTAAGAACAAGGGTGATGTACAGAGTTGAAGCAACTATAGGGGAAATAAGTTGATGAGTCACACAAAGAAGAGCTGGGAGGGAGTTGTGGAAGCTAGACTTAGACAAAAGGTGACCATTTGTGAGTAGCAGTATGGTTTCATGCAGAAAGAGCACCACTGATGCCATCTTTGCTTTGAGGATGTTGATGGAGAAGTACTGAGAGTCATAAAGAGCTCCATCTTCTATTTGTGGATTTAGAAAAAGCATATTATAGTGTGCTGAGGGAGGATATGTGGTATTGCATGAGGAACTCTGGAATGGCAGAGAAGTATGTTAGACAGGGGCAGCTGTGGCTGAGTGGTTAGAGCAGTCGTCCTCCAATGCGAGAGTTGGAGGTTTGATTCTACTAGCAGTCACATGCTGAAGTGTCCCTGGGCAAGACAATGAACCCCTCATTTCCTCTGATGTGTGTTCCATCGTGTGTATGAATGTGATTTAAAAGCGCTGATTAGTCTTTGTACATATCTAGTAGAGTAGAGTGCTGTATGAATGGGTATATGAGGGCAAAAATTGTGGTGTAAAGCACTTTGAGTATCTTGATAAGATAGATAGGCGCTATAAAAGTACAGTCCATTTACCATTTACTGGTACAGGACATGTATGAGGATAGCAGAACAGTAGTGAGATATGCTGCAGGAGTGGCAGATAGCTTCAAGGTGGAGGTTAGATTGCATCAAGGATTGGCCCTGAGCCCCTTCCTGTTTGCTCTGGTGATGGACAGACTATTATAGGAGGTCAGGCAGGAATCCTTGTGGACTATGAGACTATGATATTTATATATGACATTGTGATCGGTGGGGAGAACAGGGAACAGGGGGAAGAGAACTTGGAGAGGTGGAGGTATGCACTTGAAAGAAGAGGAATGAAAGTCAGCCAAAGTAAGACAGAGTCCATGTGTGTGAATGAGAGGGAGGCACGTGGAACAGTGAGGCTACAAGAAGCAGAGGTCACAAAGGTGCAGGACTTCAAGTACTTGGGATCCACTGTCTAGGAAAATGTGGAATGTGGTAAAGAGGTGAAAAAGAGAGTCCAGGCAGGATGGAGTGAATGCATAAAAGTTTCAGGAGTGATTTGTGATAAAAGGTGTCAGCAAAGATCAAAGGAAAAGTTTACAAGACAGTGGTGAGACCAGCTATGTTGTATGGTCTGGAGACAGTGGCACTGACAAAAAGACAGGAGACATTACTGGAAGTAGCAGCAATGATGATGAGGTTCTCATTATGATTGACAAGAATGGATACAATTAGGAATGAGATCATCAGAGGTACAAAACAAATTAAACAACTGGGAGATAAAGTTAGAGAGGCCAGACTGAGTTGGTTTGGACATGTCCAGAGGAGGGACAGTGGGTATATTGGTAGAATGGTGTTAGAAATGCAGCGGCCAGGAAAAAAACAAAGAGGAAGTCTAAAGAGGAGATACAGTACATGGATGCAGTTAGAGAGGATATGGAGGTAGATGGAGTGAGGATGCAGAGGACAGAGTGAGACGGAGGGGGATTGTTCACTGTGGCAACCCCTGAAGAGGGAAAAGCTGAAAGAAGAACAACTAGAACAACAAGATGAACAACAAGAACAAGAAGAAGAAGAATTGTAGAGATCAGCACACAAACACATGCAAAATAACTGATCTGCCATCGGTTTCAGCAGTGGGCAATAAACAACTCAGAAATAAACGAGAGCACACTTCGAAACATTATTCAAACTTCCTTCGCTGTTTTGACTTTGTGTATTGTTTGTTGGCGTACATATTCATGAATACATTTATTTGCATTTGTGTGAGTGGGGGGAGTGGGATGCTCCATTGCATGTGTTTTGTCTGCATGTTTTAAGAGCAAAAAAGTCAGGAGGTAAGTGAGTATTGTTGTGCGTGTGCCACCTTTTCAAATAAAAACCTTTGCCAGAATACTTAAGAGTGCATGCACACAAAAAAATACACGCAAAAGCAGACGTGGACTATAAGCAGGGGAGTGTATCAGTATTTCTTTCTAGACTTCCTGCCTGGTACTTTACAGTGTAGTCTGTATATGGAAGTCAATGCCTCAGCTCTAACTATCTGTTTTTAAAAACAATGCATGCATTGCCTTCAAAATGACGCAAATGAAACAATTAGCTCACTACCATTATACAGCAACAATGTGCATGCTGTGTCATGAATTCACATAAAGTTGTTTTGGAATATGGCGCAGATGAATGTTATTGAAGGCCTGTATTTGTTCTGAAACACAACTTGGTATATGCACTTTGATTTGTCAAGTAGTTGTTTGTTTAACCAGTTTCACACATAAAGAAGAATTTGTTTGAGGCTGATTCACATGAGATCATATTATTTCACACTCAGAAACACCAATCTGACTTCTGAAAAGGTAATCACATCTGCAGGAAGTCTCCTCTAAGCGCATGCAATTTCTCACACCGTTGTGCAGTGCATGCAAAAACAGCTAAATGGTATCACTCAAAGAAATGAATCAAGAAAAGCTCTTTAATGAGTTATTATTGTTGGAAGTCAGATCCAGAGAAAGTGAGAGCTGGCTGTGTGAAAGACTGTTATGATACACTGATGTCTTCAGACCGTTGCAAGAGAATCTCCGTTTTCCCGACATCTTCTTTTTCCTCCTCCTCACAGCAAGCTATCTCTGCTAATGACCTGAGGTCCTTCTCTGATTTGGCCTCAGCTATCCACAAGATTATGAATAATGTATTGAGTCTAAAATTGCATAAGTAATCCTCTGAAATCTCCTTATGTATCCTGACAGACCACGTTGTTTGCTCCAGTTGCCCTTCAGTTCTTTAAACAGAATATGTTGCTTGTGTAAAATAAATAATTTAAAAAAGCTTTAGCTACAGTAACTTGATTGATTATTGTGACCTCAGTGCTGGAGAAACATGATGCTTATGGGGACTTTTAATAGAGGTTTGTATCCTTTCTCAGTGCTTTAGAAACTCTGTAACACTGCTGACTCATGATTTCTTCCTCATTACAAATGAGAGCAAAGAAGACTGCGTTGCTAAGATCTTCTTGTATCCCTGTCGGCCTGCATCAACATAATAAATACTGAAATGTAACAGCAGAATATTTACATGTGATAATACTGTCTAGCCATTCTCATAAGTAACACATTTCTATCAACTTCATCAATCCAATGCAAATGCATCATAAACAAGAGAGGAGACAGATTCTTCAGAGTTCCAGTCTGGCTTTTGATTGAACTGCACCAAAGGATATGCATTATAATTTAAACACTTGTTTTCTAATAAAACACAAGCTGCTGTCGTGTTTATCTTCACCCATGTGCACCACCGTGCAATGACTCCACTTTGCATGTAGAATTTTTACTCACCATCTGCATTAATTTGAGGGTGACATTGCACCATTCATGCATTCGTATGCACAATATGAAATATGTGACACGTTTTGTCCCATCCATGAGGCTATATGTATATAGTCCTGCATGGTCTTACAGTGGAGGATAGGTTTTTGCTTCTGTGTGGTTTCTGTTGCAGTAAAATTTATCTCAACACTTCTCAGTACTTGTGTATTTAAAGCAGAGCCAGTCAGTTTTCAGAGCTCCACAGTCAAGAAGACATGCGCACCATCTTAATTCCAGCTGTCGCACAGAGCTATCCATATCTATCCTGGCTGCAGGCTACACCTGTGAAAGTTTGCTTTATGACTTTATTAGCTTTAAACATTTATCACGAAGCAATAGTTTCCATTATGGCAGAAAAGGTTTAAGAAGCTTCCCTCTCTGAAGTCTTCTGTGAGAGTGTGGGCTGTGAAATGGATTCTGGGGAGGAGTAAGTAAGTTTAAGGAGACTGAAATGAAAAACTTTTTTTTCCCTCTTTGCTTTATTTGGCCCTTTGTAGTATGAAATCAAGAAAACTTTGTAGGCATTCATTCTTATAACGTCCGCACTGTTGATGAGTTCAAAGAGAAATAAAGGGATGAGTTTGTGCATATATCAAATGAATAAAAAGTGAAACTGAACACAGGTGGCACCTTAAGAGCAAGTTTCTTATCTTTGCTTGGAGGAAGATTGGGTTTTAAAGGAACGACCCGCAGAAAACAGAGGGACAGAGAGAGGGAGGGGGTGGGTGGAGGCAACAGCTGAGACCAAATACAAGTGCAGCTCTGTATGTGATGCAGTACCCCAGAGCCCTCTAGATCAAACACACTATTAGTCATGATAGGTACAAATCCAGCTTTTACCAAAAGCATACGCAGCATACCACACCTTGCATGTAAATATACTTCCAAGAAGTTAAAATAATAGGTGTTTCCTATGATGAGGGTCATCATGCTGACGGTTTGCTACAGTCCAATACGCAATCATCTATGAGTAAGCCCTCATCAATATTCTACACTATCAAGCCCGGGCAAGTCACAACTACAGCAATCTTGATCATCGGCTTCTGCCTCACTAGGTAAGTGCTGCTTCGATGTCAGCAGCTGCAAAGATATGCATCATGTTAAGTAGATATTATTCAAAGTCAGATGACATCACCACTTATCTTCATCATTCAGTTGTGAAGAAAAGCATTTGCCACGTTCTAATTATTCATTAAATCTATAAATGCAGTTGTGCAGAAACGCCTGTTCCTTAATTGATGAAAATCTAATGCCTGCATAGATCCTATGCACTGACTGCAAATACTTCACCAGTGATCTGTTAAATTTCTGAAGCATTCCTTTTCCACTTTTATTTATAAGACTGAAGCACATTAATCCCACCACTGTTACTGCAATACCTGTGGTTATGTGTGCAACTCTAGAAATAATCATAAAAAAAAAAAAAAAAATACATGAAAGGAAGTCTTACCTTGAAAAACAAATCAGAGGTGAAATTGACAGTAAAGCACAGATCCCCTGTAGATCCAGCATTCATCCATGTATTCAGCTGGTGCCAGGGTACCAGTCGACTGCTGGAGCAGTTCTCGCAGGCTGCGTGAGTGCTGAAAGAGAGGCAGCCAGCGCAGTGACAGCTGGAGGAGTTGTGGCACATCCGGGCAAAGATTCAGGTTATCGGTATTGGAGAGGGGGGGAAAAGCAGACGGTCATTGTCTCCAAGCCTCACTGATACCCCCCCTCCTGCCTTCTACTCCATCCTCTCTACCCTCGTGTCCCTCATGCACCTTTATTCAAGCATCACTGACACTCGTTCGCTCTTGTACCTACACTCACCGGGAACAGGCTCTTACACACGCAGCGGAGATCTCCATCTCGTGGTGCTGCTGCTGCAATCCCTGTTCATTCGTGATTGTGTGTGTGTGTGTGTATGTGAGTGAGTGAAGGAAGGAAGGGCAGGGTGGGGGTGGGCTGGAGGTAGGATGGGTGGGTGGATGGTAGGAGGGAGGAGGACAAGCAGCAAGGGGTACTGTATGTAAGCTGCTGGGGAAAGTCCAGAGTTGGTGAGCTGCATTGTCAGCTAAGACCCCCACCCGAACCCCCTCAACTTGTCACCCACAGGCTGGCTCCCTTGACACTGAGCTGTTATATAATATGAAGGGCTTTGGGAGGAGGCAGAGAGGGAGGTGGGTGAAGGGGTGGGTGTGTGAGAAATAATAATGCATTGTGTTTTTAATTGGATGTCTTCTGCACTCCTGTTACTTTCATACATCTGACACATTGTTTATTAGAAGCAGTGGTGGTGTGTGTGTGTGTGTGTGTGTGTGTGTGTGTGTGTGTGTGTGTGTGTGTGTGTGTGTGTGTGTGTGTGTGTGG